GCCTCAAAGAAAAATGTGAATTGGTCTTAGGCCCCAAAAGAATTTCTAGAAGAACTCAAAAAGGATTTAAAAAATCAAATAAGAGAGGCAGAGGAAAAATTAGGAAAAGAAATGAGAGTGATACAAGAAAATCATGAAAAAAGAGTCAACAGCTTGGTAAGGGAGGCACAAAAAATACTGAAGAAAATAACAACTTAAAAAAATAGGCCAAATGGTAATAGAGACATTGAAGAAAATAACACCTTAAAAATAACTTCTTTAAAAATGGAAAAGCAGGCACAAAAACTCACTGAAGAAAATAATTCCTTAAAAATCAGAAGTGGGCAAGTGGAAGTTAATTATTCCATGAGATATCAAGTAACAAACAAAATCAAAAGAATGAAAAAAATAGAAGAAAAGGTGAAATATCCCATTGGAAAAACAAATGACCTGGAAAATAGATCCAGGAGAGATAATTTAATAATTTTTGGACTCACTACCTGAAAGCTGTGATTAAAAAAAAAAAAAAGCCTAGACATCATCCTTCAAAGTAATTACCAAGGAAAACTGCCCTGATGCTCTAGAATCAGAGGGTAAAATAAAAATGAAAAGAATTCACCAATAACCTCCTGAAAGAGATCCCAAAATGAAAACTAGGAATATTATAGCCAAATTCCAAAGATCCTAGGTTAAGGAGAAAATATTGCAAATAGCCAGGAGGAAAAAAAAATTCAAATATCATGTAACCACAGTCAGTATAGAATAAGGTTTAAGAACTTCTACATTAAAGGATTAGAGGGCTTGGAATATGATATTCTGGAGGGCAAAGGAGCTAGGATCACTACCAAGAATAACCTCAGCAAAGATAAGTATAATTTTTCAGGAGAAAAAAATGGATATTCAGTGAAATAAAGGACTTTCAAGCATTCTTGTTGATAAGATCAGAGATGACTTTCAAATACAAGAATCAAGAGAAGCGTAAAAAGTAAACAGGAAAGAGAAATCATAAGGAATTCATAAGGTTAAATGGGAAGATGATACTTGTAACTTCCAAGAACTTTCTCATTATTAGGGCAGTTAAAAGGAGTATGCATAGAAAGAGGACATGGGTGTGAGTTGAATATGATAGAACGATAGCAAAAATAAAATAAAATTAAGGGATGAGAAAGAGAAATGCACTGGGAGAAGAGGAAAGGGAGAGGTAGATTGGGGTAAATTATCTGACATAAAAGAGGCCTGAAAGAGCTTTTACAGTGGAGGGAAAGATAGCAAGTGGGGGAATCCTTGAACCTTACTCTCATCAGAATTGGCTCAAAGAGGGAATAACATACACACTCAGTTGGGTATAAGGATCTATCTTAGCCTACCGGAAAGTAAGAGGGGAAGGGGATAAGAGAAGGGGGGGAGCTGATAGAAGGGAAGGCAGATTGGGGCATGCAATAGTTAAAAGCAAAACACTTTTGAGGATAGACAGGGTGAAAAGAGAGAGGAGTACGATAAACAGAGGAGAAACAGGATAGAGGGAAATACACAATGATAACTGAAGAAATGTTTATAGCAAGTTTCTATGATAAAGGCCTCATCTTTCAAATATATAGAGAATTGAGTCAAATTTATAAAAATAAGAGCCATTCACCAATTGATACATGATCAAATGATACAAATAGACAACTGTATAAAAGCTATAAATATTTTTGTACATGTAGGTCCTTTTCCCTTTTTTATGATCTCTTTGGGATACAAGCCTAGTAGTGGAATTGCTGGATAAAAGGTATACACAGTTTGATTGCCCTTTGGACATAGTTTCAAATTGTGTAGCAGCTCTTTTAGTGGTGGCAAGGAATTGGAAATTAAGGGGATGCCCTCAACTGGGGAATAGTTGATCAAGCTGTGGTATATGATTGTGATGGAGTACTATTGTACTATAAGAAATTATGAGCGGGATACTCAGAAAAACCTGGAAAGACTTATATAAACTGATGCAAAGTGAAATGAGCAGAACCAGGAGATCATTTTACACAGTAACAGCAATATTGTACAATATTCAGCTGTGAATGACTTAGCCATTCTCAGCAATACAACGATCCAAGACAATTCTGAAGGACTTATGAAAAATGCTATCCAGCTCCAGAGAAAGAACTGATGGAGTCTGAATGCAGATCAAAGCATACTTCTTTTACTTCTTTATTTTACTTGCTTTTTTTTGGTCTATGTTTTCTTTTACAATATCACTAATATGGAAATATGTTTTGCATTACCTATATCAAATTGTTTGCCTTCTCAATGAAGGGGGAGGGGAAAGAAGGAGGGAAAGAATTTGGAACTCAAAATTTTAAAAATGAATGTTAAAAATTGTTGTTACATATAATTAGGGAAAAATAAAATCTTAAATAAATATTTTTAAAAGAAAAAAAGAGTAAAGAGATGTTCTGTTTTAGGTCACCTAGTTCATTTTCCTGTACAAGTTTACATTTAATCAAATTTGTGGATTGGTCATTCCAGCATAAACCTAAATCTGTGAAATCAGCATTTCTTGGCATTTAATTGACAGAGAAAAGTAGCATCATTTGGAAACAGAAAATTAAATCTTTTCTTATGTTTTAAGCATCAAGTCCAGTTTGACTTTATCAGTCACCTAAATTAGGCCTAATTATGCCTAGTGGCAGTTGGATGGCAGAGTGGATAGAGCAATGGGCCTGGAGTCAGGAAGACCTCAGTTTAAATTTGGCTTCAGACATTTACTAGGTATGTGACCCTGGGCAAGTCACTTAACTTCTGTCTGCCTCAGATTCCTCAACTTAAAATGCGGATGATAACAACTCCTATCTCCCAGGATAGTTGTGAGGATTAAATGAGCATATATATACATAATGGTTAGCACAGTGCCTGACATACAGTAGGTGCTTAATAAATGCTTGTTCCCCTCTTTGCTATTACCTTGTTTCCACCTCTTCAAAGAAGGTGCATTTTTTCCGGTGGGCAATTTTAAGACACTTAATACATTTTCACTAAGAGTGCCTTGCACAAATGTTCGTTGAGATTGAATTTGAACTCACCCCAAAAGCTTTTGCAAAATAGTCCAGGTAAAAGATCATGAGGGCTTGCAAAAGGTGGAGTGTCTATTAATTGGAGAGGAGGAGAGATAGATGAGAGTTATAAAAGTAGGAAGGTTAAGATTTGACAACAAATTGGATGTGTGGGGTGAGTGTGAGTGAGAAGCTAAGGATGTCACTGAGATTTCAATTACCTAGAACAAGCCACCTCACTTATTCTTTTCAATTTCCTTTTCTGTTAAATGGGGATAATAATACTTGTGTTATTTATTTTCCAAGGTTGTTGTGAAGAACAAATGCTATTATTAATAGAAAGTACTTTATAAATGGTAAACACTATATGAATGCAAACTGTTATGATTATTTAATTAGAAATTAAATGATTTTTTACTTTCTCTGAGTGGGTAATTCCTCTTCTGTAGGTCACAATCTCTCCACAGTTTAGGACATAATTTAATGAATTGCTGTGAATAAAGAATTTGTCACTTGGCAGCCAACCTTCTAGTGATAAGTCTCTGAGAAACAGTCATGCTGGTTTTTGGATAACACACATAGTCTATCACTGGGCACATTCTTGAAACTTTTCTAGCATGCTCAGACCTACTGTAACTTTTCTTCCAATGCCTTTGTTTGGATATCCTTCCATAACCCTCATGCCATAAGGTTGCATCAGAGGAGGACTTTGGTGGAAGAGGAAGTCTGGGGCCAATGATGGAGTGCTAGGTTTGAAGCTGGAGAACCTGGGTTCAAATTTTCCCTCTACTCCTTACTACCTGTGTCGCTTGGCCAAATTACTTATCCTCTCAGGGCCCAAGTTTCTTCATCTATTAAATCAAGGGGTTAAGTTAGAGGACATCTAAAGTCACCCCTTCCAGCTCTAAAGCTGTGATGTTATTATTGTCATTATTCTATCATGAATAGCAATCATAACAGCAATATGAAAAGAGAAATAGAATGGCCTGGTGAATAAAGGCCAGCCTTGGGGGTCAGGAAATCTTAGAGCCTTTCCTCTGACCCTACTAGCCAAGTGGCCATGAACAACTTTCTTAATTTTTTTTAATGTGAAAATTTTTATATTTTTTTTCAAGTTACATGTAAAAACAATTTTTAACTTTTCATTTTTTAAAATTTTGAGTTCCCAATTCTCTCGCTCTCTCCTCCCCTACTCCTTCTTTGAGACAGCAAGCAATTAGATATGGATTATACAGGTGTAGTCATGCAAAATGTATTTTGATATTAGCCATGTTGCAAAAGAAAACACAGATAAAAACAAAACACACACACACAATTAGGCGAAAAAAAAAGTATGCTTTGATCTGCATTCAGACTCCATCGGTTCTTTCTCTGGGAGTGGATAGGTGGATTTTCCCGTGTAAGTTCTTCAAATTGTCTTGGATCATTGTGTTGCTGAGAAGTGCTAAGTCATTCACTTGATCATTTTACCTTAGTACTGTTACTGCGTACAATGTTCTCCTGGTTCTGCACACTTTACTTTACTTTATGAAAGTCTTCCCAGATTTTTCTGAAATCATCCTGCTCATCATTTCTTATAACATAGCAGTATTCCACCACAATCATATACTACAGCTTGTTCAGCCATTCTCCGAATTGATGGGTATCCGTTCAATTTCTAATTCTTTGGGGGCAACAAGGTGGTACAGTGGATAGAGCACTGACTGAGTCAGGAGGAACCAAATTCAAATCTGGCCTCAGACACTTACTAACTGTGTGACCCTGGGCAAGTTAATTAACCCCCATTGCCTCCCCCCACAAACAAATCTAATTCTTTGCATGGGCAACTTTCTTAACCTCTGCCTGACCCAGGCAAATTTTTAAGACTATAAATTTCAGATGAATTGCTCTTTTCATTGGTAGAGAGGTTCTGTATCGGACAGTTACTACTTACACTGATAGAACCACAGGACTGGACAAAGAAAATGAAATCTTTTAAATTCTTATCTCTTCTAGATATTGATGAATGCTCAGAGCAGCCAACAGCCTGTGGAAGCCATGCTATCTGCAATAATCACCCAGGAACCTTCCGCTGTGAGTGTATCGAGGGCTACCAGTTTTCTGATGAAGGCGTGTGTGTGGGTAAGTTATCAGTGTAAGATTTTAAGAATCTCATGTATTCTCTTCCTTTTATGGTTCTGTGTTGTTTTGAGACTAGGAAAGTCTTTGTAACGTCGTTGAGGGAAGTAGGCTGGGTGCTGGTTATTTGTTAGGTGTTTATGTTTTTAGATGGTGATGATGAAAGGAAGACACATGGAAGAGAGCCCGGATTGGCTCAAGATTTTGCCTTTATTCCTATGGGTATATTTCGTCTCACTGGTTCCAAGAATTTTTAGTTCAAAGATTGTTGGAGTTCTTTAGGTTTAAAGGGGCAAGAGTGCTGGACATGACATCTGAGCTCAGCACTTCTTCCCAAATTTAAAACAGTTCAGCCTTTTATGCTGTCCATAAACCATCTCTTTGTCCTTTCCCCACTGTTTGGCAAACCCAGATATGTCTTATGTTTGTTCTGTCTTGGAGCCCTGGATAAGGCTTTGCAGAGGTCCCGAGGTGAGATGGTTTCACGGGGGCGGGAAGGAACAGGCAGTTCTCATCTTGAGCAAGACCCAACCATCTGTGCTTCTAGGCCCCTCCCTTTCCCCTGCTCTGTATTCTTTCAGAAAATCAAGATTTTTAGCCCTGGTGAATTTTATTTTTGTATTTAATATTTGATTTATTTTTCTTGATTCTCCCCTCCCCTCCCCCAGTTTAGTTAAGCTTAAACCTAAATGGGTAAGAAAACTCCCTTTGTGTGACGATGCTGTGTTCTGTGTATTAGGTCTATAGTGTGGCCAGGCTGAAACTGTTTATAGGCAGAGACCTCAAAGAATTTGTTGACTCAGTCTGATTTCTGGATCTGATCCTATTTTTGATTTATTTAAGACACTTAGGATTGTACTTGGTTTCCCCTAGTAAAATAATATAATAGTATAATAAAAATATATGCATATAATAGTATAATGTAGTAATAGTATAATAATAACTACATTAACAACTTACATTTATATAGCACTTTTAAGGTTTGCAAGATGCTTTGCTTTCATTATCTTACTTGGTCTTCAAAACACACCTATGAGTTGTTATTGTCCCTATATTATAGATGAGAAAGCTGAGGTTCAGAAAGAGTTAAGTGACTCCCAGGGTCTTGAGTGAAGTGACTTTCCCATGGTCATGCAGCTGGTGAATGTCTCAAGTGGAATTGAAATCCATATCTTTCTTGACTGTAAGCCCAGCATTCTATCTGCTACACCACATATCATAAATAAAGATCTGTGTTGTGATCCCGTACGTAATCTTTTTTGAGGTCAATGAAGGAAAGACATACTGATTAGCTTAGTAATCTAATGATTTAGACAATTTCTATTCAAATTAGTCCTTTAATTAAAAAAAATTAACAGAAGTAATTACAACCCCTCACCTTTCCTCTCCCCAACTCTGAGCAAATCACCTTTTTTATTTTTTAAGCCCCTTTTGTGGGTCCCTTCAGATCCATTAAAAAGGAAGGTAACTAGAAATATAAAACTCTTTTAAGGTAATTTATCAGCAAATTTTACTTTTCCTTCACTTCATTGGTAAAATTGTTCATGCTGGATTGCAAGCCTTAGATAGGAATGCTCTCACTTGAGATCAGAAAAGGTGGTTTGAGCCAGGGAGGGGGTGAAGAAGTGAGCAGTCAGAATTGAGGAAGTCAGACGTTGCCTGTTAATTACAAAGGTTACTGTGTTTAACTCTCCAGAACTTGGGACTTTATGTACATGCAGATGACACACACACGTACACACACATATATACATATACAAATACACATTTTCCATCTACAGTATAAGTACCTTTTTGTGTTGGTTTTTTTCTATTATGGAAGTAGCTGTTTTTGAGTGTTGTCTTGCTTTGAATTTTTTATCACTTTTTTCCCTTTTCTCTATTCACTGATGGAAAGCTCAGAACTGTTATGGTTCATTTGAAAGTATCAATTGCATAATGTGATTGGGGGGAGGGAGGATAGGAATTAATCCAGCCTTAGCTACAGTGGTGATGAAATAGATGAAAGTTTATCTCTTGTGTTTCCCACCCTACTCTCTTGCAACATCAGCACCCACACACTCTCACTCTTTGGCCCTAAATTTCAGTAAGTAAAGATTCATGTTTAAAATGACCATTCTTTCTACCCACATTAAAAAGCCTAGCCTCCCCCCAAAGTAATATGTAATTTTACTTTCAATGTTTTAACTTATTAGGACATATGGTACATATACTCCTGATTAATTTTATTTCCACATTTTAAAAATCAGGTTTATTTTTCTTGATTCCCCCCTTCCTCTTCAGTGATCATCATCCCTCATGTCCCTTCTTTTCTTGTTCTGTATTTCTTCTCTTTCTCCTTGTCCTATTTTGGCTCCTTTCTCTTTTCTCTCTTCTCATACTCTTTCTAGCTCCCTGCCTTTTTTAGTACTCCCCTTCACTCTTCTGTCAGATCCCTTCCTTTTCTTTCTCAGTTTGTTTCTTCTCCGTATTCCCTTACCCCTAACATGAGAGGAAAGAGAGAAGAGAGAAAGAAATAGTGAGAATTTGGGAGAGCAACATAGGCTGGGACTGGGATTTGGAAGAATGATGGGGAGAAACAAGTTCATTCATTCCACAACTGTGTTTTTTTTAAAATGCCAATTGTGTACAAAGTACTGTGATAGATTCTGTAATATTTAAGACACAGTCCCTGCCCTCATGGAGGGTTACAGGTTAACAGAATCTGACTTAGATTTCCCCAATGCAGATCTTACTCTTTTTTTTGTTTTGTTTTGTTTGTTGTTTTTGATGAGGTAATTGGGGTTAAGTGACTTGCCCAGGGTCACACAACTAGTAAGTGTCAAGTGTCTGAGGCTGAATTTGAACTCAGCTCCTCCTGATTCCAAGGCCGGACCTCTATCCGCTGTGCCACCTGAGCATATTCCTTTTCCACGACTTCTCATAGAAATGCAAGGAAAGAGAAAAGTCAGACCTTCCAAAGCATATTTGTTGAGCTTTGGGCACAACAGTTTGAGAAGGATGTTGGTTAGCTGCAAAGTGTCTATAGGAGGGAAACCTCTCTAGGAAGGGAATGGTCTTGAGTCTACATTATATGACGATCAGTTGATGGAACTAGGAATATTTATTTATTCTGGAGAAAAGAAGAGGAAAGGATAGCTCTTTTCAAGTATTTGAAGGTCTGTCATAGGAAAGAGGCCTTATACTCGTTCTATTTGGCCAAAGAATAGAACCAGGGAGCTTGATTAATTTGGACTCGATGTCAGGAAAGTCTATCTACAAATTACCGCTATCCAAAAGTATAATGGGGGCTGCCTAGAGAGGTGATAGTTTCCTTCTCTGTGGAGGTCTTCAGCAGAAGCTGGATGGGCTTGTTACTCATTGGGCATGCTATAGTAGGGATTTCTTCCAGTAATGGGTTGGACTAGATGGCCACAGAGGTCCTTTCTAATTCTCAGACTTTGAGATTCTGTGAAGATATTTTTTCAGCCCTGCCTCTGCCACATACCGGCTTTACCCATATTTGTTTGGCCCATCTATTTTAGATGGCAGAGAAGCTACCGTGTTATTCTCCATTCCATGTATGATGACCATCCAATGATCATCTCCCTGAATGCTTTCTTCACTGTAAAGATTTCTATCTTTCAATGCTCTTAGAGTTGACCCACACAATAGTCACTATCTGTGTCTACATATGAGAAGCCAGATGGCAGAGTGAAGAGAGAGCTGGCCTTGGAGTCAGGAAGAACTGGGCTCATGGGCCACTTTTTTTTATTCTTTTTTTGGGGGGTCCTTTATTTTATTTTTTTAACCTTTTTTTATTAATTTATTTTGATTTATTAGCAATCATTTCCATAAACTTTTGAGTCTTAAATTGTTCCCTCCCTCCCTCCCTCCCCCCCAAGACAACATGCAATCTGATATAGGTTATACATATACATTTCATGGGCCACTTTTAATAAATACTGGCTGCATAATCCTAAGTAAATCACTTACCCTCTCAGTGCCTTAGGTAGTAAACTGTCAAGACTTCAATTGCAGAGAAGATGCTAACCCCATTGATACAGGTACTTTCTCCATAAGAAGTTCCCTATAACAATGAAATCACATCTCTAGTCCTAAATCCCTAAATATGTGTGTTTATTTTACCTAAGCACTCCCCCTCCCCAGTTCTTTCAGAATATTCCCTTTATTTTGCTGAGCAAGCATAGAAAAAGGATGAACATTAATGATGAAAGGATAAGGAGGGAGAAGAACATAAGGAAAGGCTCTTTCCTCCTTTTAAGACTGACTAGGTAAAATCCTTTTGCCTAGAGTGTCCATAGCTAGGTGGTGTGGTAGAGAGTGCTGGGCCGGAAGTCAGGAAGAATTGAGTTCAAATCCCTCCTGAAGACACTTAGTAGCTGTGTGACCCTGGCCAAGTCACTTAATCTGTGTTTGCTTCCATTTTTCAATGTAAAATAGAGAGTACCCATCTGGCAGGCTTGTTGTGCAGATCAAATGAGGTAATATTTGTTAAACATTTAGCACAGTGCCTACCGAATAATAGGTGTTATATGAATGCTTATTCCTTTCCCCTCCCTGTCCCTTTTCAATTCATCCAGGGCCATCTCCAGTCTTCCTCATCTATATCTGGCCACTGGACCCAGATGGCTCCCAAGGAGAAAGTGAAGTTGGTGACTTTGCACAGTCCTGCCTCACTTAAATCCATTTCACTTGCAAGTCATGGCATCACCTCCCTAATGCCATGGTCCTCTTTGAGAACAAAGGACAAATAACAACAACCCTTTTCAGCTAGAATTCATAATTCTTTTCCCTTTGTAGGCTCACTATATTGGCAAAGTTGATCAGTGACAGATTTATTTTAGAAAAGGAGCCTGGACCAAATTCCTGACCATCCCTAGGAATTTTAAAGCCTGCAAATTTGGGGGCCAGAAGAAAGGCAGGCACACTGTGGCTACAATAATTGTATTTTTCTAGTTCCCATGGAAGTAGGTCACATTCTCACTTTGAAGACTCAAGCTGCTGAACATTATAGGTTGGCTTTTGGTTACCAAATTCTTTGGTAATTCCCTTGTTTGGCAAAGGACTTTGATCTATTTGTTTATGTCCTATAATGCTCCCAAAGAAAGGGAAATATATCTAATCTTTGTTTATCTTGCTTCAAGTGGCTTGGCCCTGTTCACTGAAGAGGAGGATTAAGAGTCCTGCTTTAGGAGTCACAAAAAAAAGTTTTGGGACTAGCCCTAAAGTTTTCTTTTTCTTTTTTCTTTTCAGGTCTGCATTCTCTCTTCCAACTTCCCTATGATTACCCCACACATACATTAAGAAAACAAGAAGAAAAAAACATTATAAACATGTATAGTTAGGCAAAACAAATTCCCCCATTAGCCATATTTTTAAAAATTCTTCAATTTACACCCTGAGTTCATCACCTCTCTTTTTGGAGGTGAGCAGCATGTTTCGTCATGAGTCTTCTGGAATTGTGATTGCTCATTGTGTTGATCAGAGTTTCTAAGTCTTTCAAAGTTGTCTTTATAATATTATGTAAATCATTCTCCTGCTTCTGCTTACTTCATTTTGCATCAGTTCATACAAGTCTTCCCAAGTTTCTCTGAAACCATCAGTTTCATCATTTCTTACAGCACAATAGTTAGCCCAAAGTTTTCATGCCATTTTCTTTATTCCACATCTTACCCTGGTCCTGTGTTTTATGGAATGGTAATGGGGACCACAGAGGCCAAATGTTACTTTCAGAATTCCTAGTGCCTGGAACTGCAAGACATCCCAGAAATCTGAGCGTTTTCATCTTTAAACCACATTCTTATTTTTATGTCAGAGCCAAAAGATAGCCTATGATTTACTACCTCCTTATCACTGGACATTGTTTTAGAGCTGAAAGGGACCTTAGAGGTCATCAAACACAGTAAGAAGCTGAAGCCTGGAAACTTAGATGAATTATGCAAGTCTTAGAAGTAGTAAATAATGGAATTGATTGAATTTTGAGCCCAATTTGAGCCCAAGTCCAGAACCAGAAAGCTCTCTCCATTGTCACATTGCTTCTTCTGATCTTCCTCCTTGCTCTGTCTTCTCTGGGCTCTAGCAAGGGAAGTATAGATGGTTAAACGGCACAACAGATAGAGCATTAGGCCTAGACTCAAGAAGACCCAAATTCAAATCTGGTCCCAAACACTTACTAGGTCTCTTACAGATGTCTTGTCTGCCTCAGCTTCCTCATCTGTAAAAGGGAGATAATAATAGCATCACTTCCTGAGTTGGTTAAGATAAAATGAGATCATATGTATAAAGTGCTTTGCAAACCTCAAAGGTCTATATAAATGTCATTACTATTATTATTATATTTCTTTCTCCATATGAGCACCTCATGTTGCTTCCTTTGGTGACTTTTAAATAAACCTTTACAGCAGAGGCCCTATCTGCTGTATATGGGCTAGAAAATGTCATTGTAGATTTTTCTTAAATTCTTGACATTGAATTGACCTTCTTTAGCAAATGAGTAGTCATAGGAAATAGAGTTGTTTATTATTTAAAAGAAAATTTGACTTAAAACCTTCTGTAAATCTGTCTTGTAGCTGTTATTGATGATCGTCCTATCAACTATTGTGCAACTGGCCTCCACAATTGTGACATCCCCCAGCGGGCACAGTGTGTGTATGCTGGAGGCTCCTCCTACCACTGTTCCTGTTTGCCTGGCTTCTTAGGAGATGGGCACGCCTGTCAAGGTACATAAAGCTTCTTTTTCTTTCTTCAATTGGTGCATAAAAACTAATACGAAGTGATGTATTTTAGCCTAGTTCTGTGGTGACAGTAAGTTCTCTGCCCACCCTGACAACCCTTTATAAGGTCAAAAATGGTTATTATTTTAACTGTATAGGATAAGAAGTGTGTATTCTATTTATTTGCCCTCCTTGAGTATAATAGTTGAGAATCTATCTATCCTCATGCAAATTAGTATTTGGATCTTGAATGCCACCTAAATGAGTGGATAAATAGCAATTGTGTTGTCTTTTTGTAGCTAATATTTTTAAAGTGGAAGAGCAAGATAAAATTTAAAATTAAATGAATGGAAGCTAGAATTTTCAAGGATGACACCCAGATGAACTCAAGGTGCCTTTAAAATCTATGCTTCTAGGGGGTAGCTAGGTGGCTCCGGCCTTTGAGTCAGGAGGATCTGAGTTCAAATCTGACCTCATACACTTGACACTTACTAGTTGTGTGACCCTGGCAAATCACTTAACCCCTATTGCCTCAGCAAAAAAAAAAAAAAAAAAGATCTATGCTTCTATATTTTGCTCTATCCTAAAACCCTTAAGGATTCCTTTAAAGGTTACCTTTTGCTCTACCCTAAAACCCTTAAGGATTCCTTTAAAGGTTACCTTTTGCTCTACCCTAAAACCCTTAAGGATTCCTTTAAAGGTTACCTTCAGCAAAATGACATATGAGCACAGTGCCCCAAGTGTCTTGATATACAACACCAAGTGCGCCTTTCCAGTAAATTGATTTTTTTTAATTGATTCTATGATGTATTCAGATCTGAATTTTTGGCCACAGATTCTGTTTATCTGTTTGTTTTGTTACACAGAAGATTTAAATTCAAGGGATAGGAGTTTGGAGGCATACTAGGAAATGATTAAGGCATAAAAAACAAAAGACATCAATAAAAATTCTAACAAATAAACACAGTGAATACATGGATTTAGAAGATCATTTCAGAGATACTTTATCTTTATTTCTAAACTGGTCTCCAATTATAAGTGACCTCAAACAGTTGAAATTTCTTGTTCCTTGAGTCTCATTGTTAAGTAGTTACTGATCAGTAGATTAACACTTAGATTCACTGTGGAAGTGTAATAATTAAAGGATTCCTTTTATAAAGTGAAAAATCTTTGAGACAAAAAAAAGTCATCTCCCCATTCCCCATTCATAGTTTTTGTAAACTGAGTTTAGCAATTTCCTTAAAGAAAGTCATCCTCTTTTATACTTGAAATATAGTCCTGTTCTATACATAATATTATGTAAAGGAGATCAGAGAAGGAGGTCAGAGAGACGTTGTATGTTGAGAATTAAGGTAGTGAGTTCTAGGACCTGCTCAAGAGCTATTTCCCCTTCACTGTAATGAATGATTTCACTCAGGCTTCATTGGTAAGAGGGTGGAGTGGGGGTGGGGGAGAAGAAAGAGAACAAGCATTTGTTAATGCCTGTGTGCCAGGCACAATGCTAAGCCCTTTACAAATATTGCCTCATTTGATTTTTACAACATTCTGGGAGGTAGGTGCTATTATTATCCCCATTTTACAGATGAGGAAACTGAGGCAAACAGAAGTTAAGTGACTTACCCCAGGGTCACCCAGCTAATAAGTGTCTTAGGTTAGATTTTAACTCAGGTCTTCCTGACTCCAGGCTCGGTGCTCTGTCCAATGCACCACCTAGCTGCCTAACTGAATGATGAAAAGAAATCAGGTTTATCTATGATCTTGTACTTTGCAGATGTAGATGAATGCCAACAAAATCGTTGTCATCCAGATGCTTTCTGTTACAACTCTCCGGGATCCTTTGTTTGCCAATGTAAGCCTGGATATCAGGGTGATGGTTTCCAGTGTGTTCCAGGAGGTAAGATTTGGAGTTGCAATACAAACTTAACTATTATTTGATGCTGGGCATTCACTAAAGGGAATGGAGTAGGGGCGGGGGACAGGCTGAATTTTTGCCCCAAAAATAAAGAGGATGGGATTCATGACCTTCTCTCCCCACAAAAAGAGGTGAAATGTCATCATCATTATCAATGATTGGTTGGATACTGTACTAGATACTGCAGTTTAAATAGTTTTCCTTAAATTAGAGGTGTGGAAGTATTGATTCCCAAATACTGGTGTTGGCAAGAAAATTCTGAGGATATCATGGAAACTGGAGCTAAGGGATTCTAATCAGCTTCTAAATGAAGGGAAATCTTGAAGTGAGTTTTGCTGAGTTCCACTGACTATGTTTTGGATACCAGATTGATTTTCATATGTTAATATCATCCCTTTCTCTACTTTTACTTATGAATTTGCATTGCACCCAGGTAACACTAGAGTTGACTTTATTTAAAGGCAGAATTTGATATTAGTTGACTAATTTAGATAATTCTACCAGTAGAGATGTATTTCTTTGAAAATAGGCTTTATATTCTGTTAAAATAAAAATATTCCTGGCATATGCCACATTTTAAGCTTTATAAGTTAGTTATACCTTAACGTGAATAAGTTTTTCAGATATTTTTTCTGTTGTTGGATTTTAAATTTAAATTTTTTTTCTATGGACATGCATTTATTTTCTCTCCCTCCCACATCCCCAACACCAACTGAAACAAAAACAAAGCCTTCATAATATACATACATACATATATGTATATGTATAAAATAACCCTCGTTAGCCATGTCTTAAAATGTATGAGTTATTCTTCTTGAGTCCATCATCTGTCTGTTAGGAGGTATATAGAATGTTTCATCATTGGTCCTCTGGAATTATGGTTGGTTATTGCATTGATCAGAGTTCTTAAAATTGATCGTCTTTATAATGTTGTTATTCTATAAATTGTTCTCCCAGTTGTGCTTACTTCTTTGTAACACTTCATACAAGTTTTCTCAGATTTCTTTGAAATAATTTCTATCCTCATTTCTTATACTGCAATAGTATTCCATTACATCAGATGCCACATTTGGGTCAATCAATCCCCAATTTACACCAAAAAAAGCTGCTATCTGTAGTTTTATACGTATGAATTTTTTTTCTCTTTGATTTCTTTGGGGTATATGTGTAGAAGTGGTATCACTAGGTCAAAAGGTATGCACAGTATAGTGATTTTTTGGGACATGGTTCCAAATTGCTTTTCAAAATGTCTGGTCCAATGCATAGCTTTATTGATAATGCTTTAGGGTGCCTGATTTCCCACATTCCCTCCTACATTTGCCATTTTCATCAAGTTTAGCAACATGAGGCAAATGTGCTTTAATTTGCATTTCTCTAACTCTTAGTAATTTGGAACTTTCTTTTTTCTTTTTTTTTTTTAGGCAATTGGGGTTAAGTGACTTGCCTAGGGTCACACAGCTAGTGAGTGTCAAGTGTTTGCTCTGAGGCTGGATTTGAACTTAGGTCCTCCTGATTTCAGGGCTGGTGCTCTATCCACTGTGCCACCTAACTGCCCCATTTGGAGCATTTTCTCACATGGCTATTGTTGCTTAGATTTCTTCCTTTGAAAACTGCCTGCTCATATCCTTTAATTATTTATCAATAGGGGAATGGATCTTATTCTTATAAATTTGAATCATTTCCGTATACCTTGGAAATGAGATATTTATCAGAGAAACTTACTGCAAAGATTATTTCCCCAGTTAACTGTTTCTCTTCTCATTTTAAATATTCTGGTTTCATTTGTACAAAAACTTTAATTTTACACAATCAAAATGTCCATTTTATCTTTTGTTGATAGATTTTTTTTTTAAATGGGGAAGGTAGCTGCAGCTTTGGAGCAGCTAGGTGGCACAGTGGATAGAGTGCCAGGCCAGGGTCAGGAAGACCTATCTTCCTGAGTTCAAATCCAGCCTAAGACACTTACTAGCTGTGTAACCCCAGGCAAGTTATTTAACCCTGCTTGCCTCAGTCTCTCCATCTGTAAAATTATCTGGAAAAGGAAATGACAAACCATTCCAGTATTTTTGCCAAGAAAACCTCAAGTGGGGTCACAAAGAATCGGACATGACTGAAATGACTGAACAACAACAAAGCTAGAGCTTTAAGGAAGTGAAGGGGAAAAGAGAAGAAAAGGAAGACCAAGGATCTCAAAGCTGGTTTGCTTTATGGTTTTGCACATCATAAGTTATGGAGGCTAGCTAGGTGGTGAAGTGGATAGAACACTGAGTTTGGAGTTAGGACGACCTGAGTTCAAAGTTGGCCTCAGATACTAACCAGCTCTGTGACCCTGGGTAAGTCACTTAATCTCTGTCTGCCTCAGTTGCTTCAACTGTAAAATGGGAATAAATAATAGCACCTACCTCACAATGTTGTTATGAGGATTGAATGAGATAATATTTGTGAAGTGCCTAACATAGTGCCTGGTACATAGTAGACAATAAATACTTGTTTCCTCCCCCCAAAAGTTGTCCATTGTCTAGTGACTTTTGGTACATCTTTAGATATCCTGGTACAAGTATAAACTGAGTTAATCACTCCAAGTTTCCTATGGAAATTCTGTGATTAGTAGCCAGGATTTTGAATTTCACTTTGTTGTTGCTGTTGGTCAGATACATCTTTGCCACTTTGAATGACTTAACTGTGAAAAGAAAATCTCTGTCCTTGTTCTTATTAAGGTCAATAACCACAGCTAACTGTTGCATGAAAAACTCAATTGAAGGTTTAACTATATATTTTTCTTTCTTTTTTGTTCAGGTCTGTTTTCTTTGGCCGTAAGGAAATTCTAGGTTAATTGAAACCAAATTTATCTCTGACAGACTTTCATGGAAAAATATTTGAAGGGACAAAAAACGACCTCTAACATCCTTCCTTAGCTCTGGTGCTGAGTTAGTTGTCTCCCCCCTGAGTTAGATGATAGACATATCTGAGGTAGACACAGTCAGCCTTCAGAAGGATTTGTTAGGTATTCGGGTATGCACAGAATTAGCTCTGCAGGGGAAAATTGACCTGTATAGTCATCATCATGGTGACTAACTCTTGCCTTCATTCTTATTTTTTCCAAGTTAACAAAATAGCTATTGTCGTGGTGGCATTTTTAAGATTTAATTTTCTCTCTATATGTTTTTGTTACATTTTAAGTTCCAAACTGCCTCCCTCCCTGCTACCCCACCCTGTGTTGGAGAAGGCCACCATTTGACACAGATGTAGATATATAGATATATGTAAAATCATACTATGCATACTTTTATTCATCAGTTCTTTCCCTGAGGTGTATAGCAGCTTTCTTCATGGGTCCTTCGTAGTTGATTTGAGTATTTACAATACTCAGAATACCGTAGTCATTCATAATTATTCTTCAAAAAATATTGCTGTTACTGTATACAATGTTCTCTCGATTCTATTCATTTCACTCCTCATTATTTCATGCAAGTCTTTCCATGTTTTTCTAAAATCAACAAGCTCATCATTTCTTATAGCACAGTAGTATTCCATCACAATCGTATACCACAACTTGTTTAGCCATTTCCCAATTGATGGGCATCCCCTCAATTCTTGGCCACCACAAAGAGATCTGCTATAAATATTTTATAACATAAAGGTTCTTTTCCTTTTCCCCGATCACCTTGGGAAACAGACCTAAAAGTGGTATTACTGGGTCAAAGGGTATGCAACAGTTTTATACCTCTTTGGGCATAATTCCAAATTGCTCTCCAAAATGATTGGATCAGTACATGTTTCCACCAACAGTGTGTTAGTGTCTCAATTTTTCCACATCCCCTCCAACATTTGTCATTTTCCCCTTCTACCATTTTAGTCATGTAGTAGCATTTTTAATAAAATGCCTACCTGAAAGGGTTCTGAAAAATAGTAACTCTTAACTCCCCTGCTTTATCTACTAGATAAACTATCTGTAACTTAGTAGATAAGTCTTAGAGAGTTACCTGAGGTTCAGCAACTCACCAGTGGTCACATAATGTAGTAAATGTTAGGGATGGATTTAAAGCTAAATCCTACTAGTTCAGGGACCATTACTCTATCTTTTATACCAGAGGTTTGCAAACTTTTTGGTCTCAAGACCCCTTTACACTCTTAAAAACAAAGAGCTTTTCTTTTAGCTATTAGAAATTGATAAACTGATAAATTTTTAAAACATTTATTTAATTCATTTTAAAATAACAATAAATCCATTACATTTTTACATAGGTAACATTTTTATTGAAAAATAGCTGTTTCTGAAACAAAAAATAATTGTTGAAAGAGTGGCATTGTTTGACATACTTTTGCAAGCCTCTTTAATGTTTGGCTTAATAGAAGACAGCTAGATTCTGTGTCTGCCTCCACATTTTATCTGTTACTATATGTTGTTTTGTTTAAAGTATATGAAGAAAATCTGGCCTCACACAGATACGTAGTTTGTAAATGGAGGAATATTTTAATAGCAGGTAGTATTTAGCATTATTATGAAAATAGTTTTGAATTCAGGGACCCTCTGAAAAGATCCTGGGGACTCCTAAGATTTCTCAGATCTCACTTTGAGAAGGACTGCTATGTCTCTAATAGTAAATAAAATCTCCCTCTGTCTCTGTTGCTCCGCTCTCCTCTCCCTCTGTCTCCTTTTCCTTTTCTTCTCTGTGTCTTTCTATGTCTGTCTCTCTCTCTCGTTTCTGTTTCTGTCTCTGCTTCTGTTCACCTCTCTCACTCCTTTCATAACTAGACAGTACTGCATGTATTATCTATACCAATCAGACACTTCTCAGACTACTAAAACAGAGGCAGCTTAATGTAATGCCTACAGTACTGGATTTGGAATAAAGAAGACCTGGGTTCAAATCCTGCCTCTAATATTTACTATTTGACCTAAGCACCTACCAAGTATTATAAGCAGCTATTCTCATCCCCAAAGTTAAGAGCGATTAAAATTATAAGCTTTTAAACTCGGC